GCTCTTTTTCTCACAAATTCCTCGTAAGGTAAACACCCGCTGTTCCTCAAACCTACACGCGGCGAGCGCTAATGTCTCGAAACAGTTTACGTCGTCCATCAACTTCGACCCAATGTAAACACAGTTCTCATATTCTAGTCCATTTGGTTCTCCTTTGGACCACAGAGGCGAGATGTCTGTAAATGAACTCACGCGTGACCTCCACACTCCCTCGTTCTCTTGGTCGTCAATAGGTGTCCAAATGTTACGAAATCTATTGTCATCTGACCAGAGTTGAGTTGTCAGGTTATGAAGGGTCTTTATCTCGTGTTCAGTTGTGGGTTGAGGAAGGTGGGAGCCCAGTGCCTCACACACGTACTGAGCTGTGCCGTGAGGTACCCAAGGGAACCAGAAATAGAAGGGGTCGGTGCCGTTGCGACAAAGTTGTTCAAGAACCATGTACTCCTGGGTGAGGTTCTGCTGCAGTAGGTCTCTCTCCCAGGAAATAAAGTCTCCCTGGGGGTCTGTCTCACACTTGGCGATCTTCTCTATCTCTTCCTCATTCATGGATCTCCGCCACATGTTCACCTGAAGGTATTGAGGCCAAGAGTTATTACAGGTTGGTGTCTATATGTGGGAGATGTATCAGTACTATTTTGTCTGCTTGAAACCAAAAATATTACATATTGTGCTGTACAGCAGCACATACTGAACACCTAGAAGAACAACACACAGTCTATATACAGTTACAAGAACAACACACAGTCTATATACAGTTACAAGAACAACACACAGTCTATATACAGTTACAAGAACAACACACAGTCTATATACAGTTACAAGAACAACACAGTCTATATACAAGAACAACATTTTGGACCTCGTACCTGCGTCAGATCTCCAACATAAGTTAAATATCTCCAATCTTTTGCACGGCCTAAGCTGACCTCATCAACCTGGATGACCTTGTCCAACTCCACCTTGACCTGGTATTGAAGGTGACCGTCCAGGTAACTGCTCACCTGATGGTCCAGCTCGTTGTAGGTGAAGCACACATGGTACCACCTGTAATATTTACCTGTGTCTAGAAATACGATAATTTATTGTATTGTGCTATAATATCTCTCTCTCTCTCTCTCTCTCTCTCTCTCTCTCTCTCTCTCTCTCTCTGTCTCTCTCTCTCTCTCTGTCTCTCTCTCTCCTCAACATACACACTCACCTCAGTATACTCAGGTGTCGCGTGATAGGCAGCATCAACCACAAGTCAGCTAATACGAGGCGGAGTCTATCAACCCACATCTCTGGTCAGTGTGCAGACAGCGTTAACACCTGTCCATACTTAACTCACGGATTAACTTAATTCGACGTAAATGGTGCATTAATAAGGTGTATCTAAAAGGTGTATTCATAAGGTGTTGACATCATCACTACTACTGTTGCCAGGTGCTAGGTAGAGCAAAGTGAGAGAATCACGGTAGAGCAAGGTGAGATAATCAAGGTAGAGAAAGGTGAAAGAATCAAGGTAGAGCAAGGTGAGAGAATCAAGGTAGAGAAAGGTGAGAGAATCAAGGTAGAGAGAGGTGAAAGAATCAAGGTAGAGAAAGGTGAGATAATCAAGGTAGAGAAAGGTGAGAGAATCAAGGTAGAGAAAGGTGAAAGAATCAAGGTAGAGCAAGGTGAGAGAATCAAGGTAGAGAGAGGTGAAAGAATCAAGGTAGAGCAAGGTGGGAGAATCAAGGTAGAGAAAGGTGAGAGAATCAAGGTAGAGAAAGGTGAGAGAATCAAGGTAGAGAAAGGTGAGAGAATCAAGGTAGAGAAAGGTGAGAGAATCAAGGTAGAGCAAGGTGAAAGAATCAAGGTAGAGAGAGGTGAAAGAATCAAGGTAGAGAAAGGTGAGAGAATCAAGGTAGAGAAAGGTGAGAGAATCAAGGTAGAGCAAGGTGAAAGAATCAAGGTAGAGCAAGGTGAAAGAATCAAGGTAGAGTAAGGTGAGAGAATCAAGGTAGAGAAAGGTGAGAGAATCAAGGTAGAGAAAGGTGAAAGAATCAAGGTAGAGCAAGGTGAGAGAATCAAGGTAGAGAAAGGTGAGAGAATCAAGGTAGAGAAAGGTGAGAGAATCAAGGTAGAGAGAGGTGAAAGAATCAAGGTAGAGAAAGGTGAGATAATCAAGGTAGAGAATGGTGAGATAATCAAGGTAGAGAAAGGTGAGATAATCAAGGTAGAGAAAGGTGATATAATCTAGGTAGAGAAAGGTGAGGGAATCAAGGTAGAGAAAGGTGAGAGAATCAAGGTAGAGAGAGGTGAGATAATCAAGGTAGAGAAAGGTGAGATAATCAAGGTAGAGAAAGGCGAGAGAATCAAGGTAGAGAGAGGTGAGATAATCAAGGTAGAGAAAGGTGAAAGAATCAAGGTAGAGCAAGGTGAGAGAATCAAGGTAGAGAAAGGTGAGATAATCAAGGTAGAGAAAGGTGATATAATCTAGGTAGAGAAAGGTGAGGGAATCAAGGTAGAGAGGTGAGATAATCAAGGTAGAGAAAGGTGAGATAATCAATACGTGTTACGGAGGTATTATCTGAACCCAGCCATATGTCACCATGGGAAGAGATCGATACACCACATTAACTTATAATGTTGTGTTAGTCAATATTTATAGTCTTTATATAGTGTGAAGAGAATGACCTGGAACTTATTGTTGGGTTGGTTGACGTAATGTGACGTTAGGTGAGGTAATAAAACATCTGGCGTTTGTCAAAAAGTGAAAGTAACTGATTAAGTAAATAGTAATGCTAGTGTATTGTGGACTACAGGAACTGAAGCAAGGCACTGTACCTCCCCTCCATGATGAACTTAACACAGTACTGTACCTCTCCTCATGATGAACTTAACACAGTACTGTACCTCCCCCCATGATGAACTTAACACAGTACTGTACCTCTCCTCATGATGAACTTAACACAGTACTGTACCTCCCCCCATGATGAACTTAACACAGTACTGTACCTCTCCTCATGATGAACTTAACACAGTACTGTACCTCCCCTCCCATGATGAACTTAACACAGTACTGTACCTCCCCTCATGATAAACTTAACACAGTACTGTACCTCTCCTCATGATGAACTTAACACAGTACTGTACCTCCCCCCATGATGAACTTAACACAGTACTGTACCTCTCCTCATGATGAACTTAACACAGTACTGTACCTCCCCTCCATGATGAACTTAACACAGTACTGTACCTCTCCTCATGATGAACTTAACACAGTACTGTACCTCCCCTCCATGATGAACTTAACACAGTACTGTACCTCCCCTCATGATAAACTTAACACAGTACTGTACCTCTCCTCATGATGAACTTAACACAGTACTGTACCTCCCCTCATGATAAACTTAACACAGTACTGTACCTCTCCTCATGATGAACTTAGTACTGTACCTCCCCTCATGATAAACTTAACACAGTACTGTACCTCTCCTCATGATGAACTTAACACAGTACTGTACCTCCCCTCATGATAAACTTAACACAGTACTGTACCTCCTCCTCATGATGAACTTAACACAGTACTGCACCTCCCCCATGATGAACTTAACACAGTACTGTACCTCCCCTCCATGATGAACTTAACACAGTACTGTACCTCCCCTCATGATGAACTTAACACAGTACTGTACCTCCCCCCATGATGAACTTAACACAGTACTGTACCTCCTCTCATGATGAACTTAACACAGTACTGTACCTCCCCCCATGATAAACTTAACACAGTACTGTACCTCCCCCCATGATGAACTTAACACAGTACTGTACCTCCCCTCATGATGAACTTAACACAGTACTGTACCTCCCCTGATGACGAAGTGGACACCATCCCTCGCTCTGGCCAGGTTAATGAAGCAGCTCCTACCGCCGATGGCCAGCAGCCGTAACCTGACGCAGAGGCTGAAGGAGTTTAGGACCTCGTCAGTGTACAGAGGTGTCCTGTACTTACTGCTAAAGGTGTCCTCCTCACTCGGGGGTATGTCCTCTTCAGAGTACCTGTACACCCCTACCTCCTGCCCCTCACCTGGTGATCAATATATACATGTATACATTGAGGTATTTATGTATATTTTTGTGTATTTATTCTTGACTTTATTCAGATACATTTCAGTGTATTTATGTATGTATTTATTGATGCGTGTATTCACTCATAAGCATGTTAAAATGCATAAAAAAGCTGTTAAATGCTTACATGAACTGTTTGTCATGCTCACCGCCTCCACATAACACATTATCGACCAGACAGACAGTCAGGTAATGTCACTTTCAGGGTCGACAGACTGGATCAATGGCGGTAATGACGGTCACATAACCAACTTAGCTTAAACTTCATTATGGATGCAATTATTGTAAGGAGTTTTGTCTAATTAATGAAAATTATAGTTTTTAATTCACATTTTGTATACCTTGACTCTCAGAATGTATGTATGTATGTATGTATGTGTGTGTGTATGTATGTATGTATGTATGTTTGCACGTATGTATGTACGTATGTATGTATGTATGTACTGTATGTACTATATGTACAGTATATGGGCGTGGTGGCTCATGAGTGGTCGATAGCACACTCATTAACGAAAATGTAGAACATTACCTGTTAACTCACCTGACTCCACCCTCCACACCTGACCCCGTCCTCCACACCTGACCCCGTCCTCCACACCTGACCCCCCTCCACACCAGACCCCACCCTCCACACCTGACACCTGACCCCCCTCCACACCTGACCCCACCCTCCCACCTGACCCCCCCACCCTCCACACCTGTCCTAATCCTCCACACCTGTCCCCATCCTCCACACCTGTCCTAATCCTCTCTACTTGACCAAGCTATAAACCTCCAAGATAACGCCACCATACGACATCGCCCGTGTGGTAGCTAAGCCTTCACCTCTCTTTCTCTTGCTCACCTTGTGTAGGAAGCAACAGCCGCGTCGTCACCAGCAACACCATCAAAGCCCTGACGTGGAGCATCCTGTCCCGTGTTGCTGGAGTAGAGAGAGAGAGATGACTATCTGATACTGGTATATACAGTAGGTCTTTGGTGCCCGAGTAGGATTTTGGCACTTCACCAGCCTTGGCACTTCCTCACCAGCCTTGGCACTTCCTCACCAGCTGTGGCACTTTCTTAAGGCTAACACTCCGGTTTCATTAAGGTGAAGAGGCATGTGCTTGTGATCACCGACACTTGCTTAGAAAACCTCACACTTGAAACTAAATCCAGATTATTTACACCCAGGAAGTGTTTCAGGGCGGCAGTGTTTCATAGCAGCAGTGTTTCAGGACGGCAGTGTTTTATAGCAGCAGTGTTTCAGGACGGCAGTGTTTCATAGCAGCAGTGTTTCAGGGTGGCGGGGTTTCAGGGCCGCGGGGTTTCAGGGCCGCGGGGTTTCAGGGCCGCGGGGTTTTAGGGTCGAGGGGTTTTAGAGCTACAGACACATTGTTTCAGGGCCGCGGTTGACAGAGATATAGCGCCCTGAGGTTCCTGGGTGCTGAGCTGCTCACTGTGTGTGCGTGTGTGAGTGAGTGAGTGAGTGTCTCTCGTGGCGCAGACGTTGTGAATCTCACACACAAACTAACTCTCTCACGCACACACATACACACACACACTCATACACACACACATATACACACACACACATACACACACACTTATACACACACAAATACACATACACTGGGCCACCAACAACCATGTCACCATCAACCATACCAAGACCATGGTTATGCACATCAACCTCTCCTCCGACATTGTCCCACCTCCTTCCATTACTTTAGGTCCGAACACACTCCAGGTTGTAGATTCCACGAAGCTCCTCGGCGTCACCATAGACAACAAACTAAATTGGAAACCACACGTCAGGGAAGTTGTCAAATCCTTCAGTTTCCGTCTCCACCTCCTCCGCCGACTCAAGTCCCTCGGAGTTCCTGCACCCCGAGCTCCTCAGTGTTTACACAACATTCATACTTCCCAAGCTCACCTATGCCTCCTCTACCTGGTCTTCCTCCCTAAATGCCACACAACGTAAACACCTAGAAAAAGTGCAAAAGAGGGCATGCAAGATTATTCTCTCCTCTTCCTACTCCACATATCAAGAAGTGCTCAACACACTGACCCTTTCGACTCTCACTGACCATAACCACGACCTCATCTGCAAATTTGGTAAGAAGCTTCTACACCATCCTCGACACCGGCTCCTACTACCACCTGAGATTCCTAGCCCGAGAATTGCTGTTCGACACCACAACCGCATCCAGCCCATACGTGCACGAACTGATCGCTATAAGAACAACCCAGTCCCAACCATTGTAAAAATTATCAATAACTTGTAATAAGCCAGTGTATTCACTCCCAGTAAATACTACTTCTTGCACTGTCACTATGTTGAAATGCCCTGTAGTTTAAGCTTTTCCCCATCTAGTTATTATATGTCTTATTTGTGTCACCTATGTTACTTGTATATTATTTGTAATTCGAAACCCATTCCCCAAATATGTAACTGCATATTTTCAGCCTTCTGGCTGCCAAACTCTCTCAATAAACCGTTAATTATTATTATTATTATTATTATTATGTTCCTTTACCTTTCTCTAATGAAGGCTTTTGTTAAACCACCAATGTATGTAATAAGTCATTTATGTCCAATGTATATTTTCAGCCTTCGGGCTGCAGAATTTTTTCAATAAACCGTTAATTATTATTATTATTATTATTATTATTATTATTTATATATACATACACACACACATACACACACACAGTCATATATATATAAATATATATATATATATATATATATATATATATATATATATATACACACACACACACACACACACACACACACACACACAGTTACTGCAAAAAACGGAATAATTACTCACCTCATTAAAAAGTAACGACGATTTGTCATAAAATTGTCGTCAGTTCGTTGGAAGTTATTAATAAGTTTTTACGCCGCAACAAAATATATCTTGTTTTATGGTGAAAATAATGTGGCAAAGTTGAGTTACTCATAACAGATGTTTTGTTACAACTGGTTCCTGAAAGCGACTTATTATGAATGATTTGTTATGATGTATCACTAACTTGTGTTACAGTTATTGTTCTTAACTGAACATAACTATTAGGTTTATTATGCAACACAAGAAGAGAAATGTGTAATAGATTTGTTAACAAGTGTAGCACAACCAGACTTACGTGTATAGTAAATGAACTGTTAACAGTTATTAACTGTGAGTGAACAGTGTTGAACGGTTAACAGTCGCAGTTGGTTAACAACAACAGTTAGTGAACAGTTAACAGTTACAGTTGGTTAACAACAACAGATAGTGAACAGTTAACAGTTACAGTTGGTTAACAACAACAGATAGTGAACAGTTAACAGTTACAGTTGGTTAATAGCAACAGTTAGTGAATAGTTACAGTTATTGAACAGTAATACTAAGTTAAAAGTAACAGTTATTTAACAGCAACAGTCAGTGAACGGTCAAAAGTTAGTTAACAGTTAACCTTGAGATATACATTAGTTAGCCATACAATTTTATAGTTTTCTGTGATTGACAAAGAAAATTAAGAGAAAATTTATATTTTCAATGTATTCTATGGTAAACTTTTTTTTTTAAATACAATTCATATTACAGTACTGTATACTGTACTGTATATTCGATGGTTTGAAATATAAATAGAAGTTCGGACTGTTAGTTTACCCAGAGTGACTGCGATAACTACAGGTCTATCATGACCATTGAACGAGGAGGTCACGTCTCTGTTACACACTGTTGGCAAGTACTGGGCATGTACTGGCTCTCTGTTACACACTGTTGGCAAGTACTGGGCATGTACTGGCTCTCTGTTACACACTGTTGGCAAGTACTGTGGCATGTACTGGCTCTGTTACACACTGTTGGCAAGTACTGGGCATGTACTGGCTCTCTGTTACACACTGTTGACAAGTAATGGGCGTGTACTGGCTCTGTTACACACTGTTGGCAAGTACTGGGCATGTACTGGCTCTCTGTTACACACTGTTGGCAAGTACGTGGCATGTACTGGCTCTCTGTTACACACTGTTGGCAAGTACTGGGCATGTACTGGGTCTCTGTTACACACTGTTGGCAAGTACTGTGGCATGTACTGGCTCTCTGTTACACACTGTTGGCAAGTACTGGGCATGTACTGGGTCTCTGTTACACACTGTTGGCAAGTACTGTGGCATGTACTGGCTCTGTTACACACTGTTGGCAAGTACTGGGCATGTACTGGCTCCTGAATATATCCGTGCCTGCTCCAGTGTTGGTCAAGATAGAAGAAGGTCAAGATAGAAGAAGGTCAATATAGCTTGTGTAGGATTCCTCCATTGCTCTTGGTAGTCTTGTCTACCTGGACCAGGTGGTAGTAGTAGTACTAGTAGTAGTAGTAGTGGAAGTGGTAGAAGTGGATACCAGCGAAGTAAATAAGATTCGTAGGTCCATTACGACAGATCGACAGCACTGCCAAAATGATAAGTTGCAGCAACTATTGTTGCAGGTTCCAGAAAATTTGAAAAAATAAGTAGCTATAGCGCAGGAGGTGGGCGCTCGAACTCGTTAACTACGTTACCGATAAGGGCAAATGGTTTCAGTCTTAATAAACAAGAATTTACAGATGCCATTGCTCTAAGGTACGGTCGGCCGGTAAAAGGTTTGCCCTCCCAATGCGTGTGTGGCTCTTTCAATGATGGCGATCACGCCATGGTCTGCAAGAAGGGGGGCTTCATATACATGAGGCATGACGAGGTAAGGGATCTCACAGCAAATATGTTGAAGGAAATCTGCCGGGACGTCATGGTAGAACCGACCCTCCTTCCATTGGATGGCGAGATCTTCCAACACAGGACTTCAAACACATCTAACGAAGCCCGCGTGGATGTCAGTGCTCGAGGATTCTGGACGCGGGGACAGCGAGCTTTCTTCGACATCAGGATTTTTGATCCCATGGCCGCATGTCACCGTAACCTAGCTCTCGATGCTGCACATAGGAGGAACGAGAACGACAAGAGAAGGGCATATGGGGAGAGAATTCAAAACGTTGATCAAGGCAGCTTCACTCCTCTAGTGTTCACAACCTCTGGTGGGATGGGACCAAGTGCAAGATGTTTCTACGCCAGACTCGCGGAGTTGATCTCCGAACAGAAGCAGCAGCCCAGAAGTTATGTTACAGCCTGGATGAGATGTCGACTGTCTTTCTCTCTCCTTCGGTCGGCTTTGCTCTGCCTTAGGGGAACGAGAGCTTCTGCCCCAACTCCGACAACTGCTGCAGATATTGACTATGAGGCTACAGTCACTGAATGCCGCATAGATCTGCGGCTCAACTAATTTAACACAGATAGGATAGCTTCTTATGTATTAGGATATTTAATATTAAGGTAATAAAATGGCGGCGAAGGTGTGGCTATTGGGGGAGGCTGGAGGCCACTTAAAAAAGTAGTAGTAGTAGTAGTAGTAGACCAGGTAGTGGTATTAAACCAGGTAGTAGTAGTAGGGGAACGAGATATTTGGCCCCAAAGCCAACAACGGTTGCAGGTATTGATTTTGAGGACCTGGTAACATCACATGGTCAACAAATAGGGTACCACCCAAATGCCAACAAGTCCTTCCTCATTGTGAAACCAGAACACTATGAACGGGCAATGGAGGAGTTCGACGGAAGTGAGGTCAAAATAACTAAAGACGGCCAAAGACACGTAGGTGCAGTAATCGGCACGAAGGACGTAACAGAAAAGGTAAATGAGTGGGTGAAGGAAATCCAAGCTCTGTCTGATGTTGCTAAAACGGAATCACATGCGGCCTTTGCGACATTCACCCATGGAGTCAAGCATCGCTGGAATTACCTGTTGCGCTCTATCCCTGACATCGAACCCCTCCTTTACCCTCTGGAGGAAGCCATCAGCATCATTTTCATCACAAAATTAATGAAACACCTTCACTTAACC